AAAGTAATAGATTAGCACCATTGCCATGGCTACATCAGATTTTGGACATCCATGTTATGGTTAGACAGCTGTCAAAACAAGCGATCCGCTGACCAGTATCACGTGACCATATCGCGAGCTCAGGTTTAGAGCTAATCCAGGTCGCCTGTTTTTCGAAGTTGACGGTTGACCTGACACCGGTTTTTGATTGGATCACAAGCTCAAGTCAAGTTTAATAAGAAACAACACACAAACTGCGGTGACAAACATGACAATAAAACGCACGTTAGAAAACAAAATTCATTTAACTTGACGTTTCGTATATTTCGACATACATCTTCAGAAATGACTGTTGAGAATAGAAGTAACAACTAAATTTTGAATTTAAGATAAGTAACTAATTAACAATAACAATGACAGAAGTTGAAAAATGTGCATATTACAAGATGCAAAGTAATAAAGATAAAGTTTTTCGCTACTAACATTATCATTTAGGGTAGGTTTCAGTTCCCTAATTAGTAGAGTTTCCTTTATCTTGCAATGTGTATCTGACGACCTTTTGCTAAAATGTCAAAGTGGTCCCATTTTGAGTTGTGATCTGTTGACGTGACGTGGTCTGCGATAGCAGATGCATGACAGCTACTCGTGATGACTTTAAAATGTTCAGTTTTTCTGTCGTGCAATCTACGTTTTTGTTTTTTCAATGCGAAATCCTGGCAGGAGGAAGGAGTACGTGCAAAGGCAAAATTTCGGCGTAAATTAACCCCTGGCGCGTTGTTAACTTTTCTACCGACATAGTCCTCGCTCCATCTTCTCTTGGAAACTCCCTTATACATTGCGTACGTAATTTCTACAATCTTGGTTACGCTTATTGGGTATACTTTGTTAAAATTCAACTGGAAAAAATAGCGACACCACACGCAGCACAATTACATACTCACAATTGATCATTTTTTGAGTTTCTGATCAGAGAAAAACAAATCCTCTTTTTCCTTTATGGCTAGTTATTGCAATCAGGAGCTCCGCTTTTAGGCCTGACTAAATCTAATCTAAGACTTAATCTATTCCAAATGTTGCCAAAATGAGATTTAATCCTTGGTTAGGTAAAG